AGCAGTGAGCACTAGTTGGCGGGGCCCAATCAACAAGACTGTTTGAATGTTGAACAACAAACATGCTTGCCAACAAGTTCAACAACGTGTTTGACTACACAGCTAACTTGGCTACGTACCAAAAAATTGCAATTTTTGTTGTTCCGCTTCTGAATGTCCTGCCACTTACAGCAGCGGTTGAACAATAACAGATCATGTATATGATTATAATATATGCGTTACATGTACTAAAATTGGAAAGGGTAAATCGACAAGGTTCTATCTTAAGATAGAACTCAATAAAAACTAGCCACAAAGGCCTCAACACCACCATAGAATTTATCTGTCCCGGGCCTAAGTACTGTCCCGGTGGTAGGTCGTATGACCTTGCACTCTTATCGAATTTTCTGCATGTTGCGGGGGCCTGCCGAGCCATGACACTGGCCTGGATTTGGAGACACATTCGCCCTCAAACGTACTCACAGAGGATAAAACTCATACACTGAGAAACACGCATCGGAACGCGCAGTTTTTGCACCCTGGGTGATACAAACTCCATGCCAGGGCGGCCATCTGCCAACCACGGTTGCCATGCGTCTAAAAATTGCCAGATTACTTGTGACCTAGTTCTCGGGGGCCCACTGTGTTTGCGTGCTTCTTCCTTTACGCAAGTCTTTGTTTTTCATAGGAGGGACCTAGTAAACAACAGATTTGGGACTGGCTCTTGGTTCTGGTGGTAAACAAGCCTGATGTACAGTTACAGTACGGCTACAACAAACAACGGTCATGTCAACAACATGTTTAGGGACTAAGGTGGAGTCATATCTTTAGAAGATACCGACTAAAAACATGTGTCCGGATTATGGAAAACCTTTCTCCTGTGTGTTTTGGTCAGTCTTACTGTTTGTTTGTATCGAGATACCAGGAAGGGAATGGTGAATCATATAGCCGCACCCAGTCGCCTGGGCAAATGACAGTCATGCAAATAAAACCAAGGAGGTTTGACCCTATAAAACCATGTTTTCGCACCCGATAAATCTTTTAGTGCGAACTTCAGCGAAGTAAAGAGCTAAAAGTGTAAACTGGCTGTGCTATTCACACATGTACACAGCATGATCTATCGGTTTGACCCGGTAATCGCTTTGCGTCCACAAAAGATTCCAAGTGTTTCTCACAGGGGTGTCCATGTATGTAGGTCAGTCGGCCCTATCGGTAAATTCAGCGGAAATTTCGCGCACACATGCCACATGCGTGTTGTTTGTACTGGTCCGAGCGTGCACTTGGCTAGCTTTCCTGGGAACGACTTTCTTTCTTCCGTGTAAAACCACGAGCCATTATATAAAAACATATGACCTACACACACACATACACTGACAGCTATGACAATCATAGTGATACCAGACCCAAGAATTTACTTTCTGTCGTTCGTAAGAAAATTAGTATTTCGTCTAGTAAAATTCGTCAACATTTGCTGGTTTAGTTACATATTTGACAATCAATCTACTCATTGAAAGGTGACTAATTTCAGCGAGACGGTCAGTATTTTCCGTTGCCGGAACAAAGACCACGCATGGGAAAACGTGGCCTGTGTGACCCACTGAGGGAAAGTCCGGGAAGTCCGGATCTAGGCTCTAAACATCGTCCCAAAACCCTTGTCCCGATAGAATACGGCTGGCAACATGCCCACTATCATACACCCTAACCCCGCAACAATATAACATTCACTCTGTGATAGAATATAGTACAGGTACTTACCCATGCCTAAAAATCCGCCTGTATTTGTTGGCATAGCCGACAAATGATTCAGCCCAACCGGTCCCCAGACGGTATTGCTAGAAGAATGCCAGTCCCGCTGTCCGGTATATGTACCAGATGCTTTCTCACAACAAACCGGGGAAGCGCCGCTCGACACTGGGGAGGCAAGACGATGTTCTACCGAGGACAGTGTAGTGGTAGGTGCGTGGCGTACGGGAGCAGACATGAACTGAGCGGGAGGAGCGCGATCATTTAAAATATAACTGAGAGGCGACCCTGTTCCTGGAACTGGGCTAAGGGCATTACTGAGCGTAAGAATAATGGGTCACCCAGCTGGTCCTCGACCCAAAAAAGTGGGCATGTCGAATGTACTAATCACCATATTTGAATATGCATGAGGTATACTTTATTTGTTGCACGTTGGGCGTATGCGGCGTCGCTATTGGTCGGCAAGGCAAGGGCGTATCCTTGATTACCGATTCTAAAGTAATGAACGCAACAAAGGGGACAATTTCCGTCATTTAGGACGCGATTGTGGCGACTAAATTGCAGATTGTCGCGAAATCTGAGGCTTTCTCACCAAAGGCTGTTCTCTAAAAACTACCTTATGGAAGAATGGGACATTTAATGACGTAACATCATGACCAATGGCAGAGAGAAACACTCTGCTTTGTAGGTCACGCGAACACATGCTAATATCCTCCTCTCCGTTGACCTCTTTCTGTAAGGACAACGGGGCCCGGGCCAATGGAACCGTCCGGTACAGGGAACAAAGGACCACCCCATTCAACAATCCCTGTCCTTCAGTTATACATTAACTACCACCTATTTATTTATTCATCCTCAATGAAAATTTATTGTCGATTTTAGGCAAACCGCAAGTTACAGATGGTGTTGTTTAGCGCTTATGTAAATGGAGGGCAAATATCAACGTACGAGCGCACATCGTTATATATGATACACGCCTCTTCTATAAATATATATAAAGTAAGGAGCAGTTTTATCCGGATTTGAACAGACTTGGTTGCGGCTGTGATATCAGCACGGAATTGTTGCAGCGATGCGCCCCGATTCATCGCAGAGACTTTGAAACCTTTACCTCAGACGACCCGCTGCCAACGTCTGCAAATATGGGTCATAACCCACTTTCTAGGACAAAAGACGCCATTGGTGGACCTGAAGGAAATGGGTTAAATAATTATATTGTGCCTGGATCTGTTTCACTCTATTTTAGGGGTGTTCAATGCGACGAATTGCACAAATATGCATAGATATCGTAGATATACAAATCCACTGTGTGCGTATCATTAGTTTGTAGCAGATACATATCTTACATCGTATACAAACTTATTTCTAACTTCGCGCTTTTCGTCAATGTTCATACGTCTCCCCCTCCCAGGACTGTGACAATGGAATGACCCAGCTGCAGGTTTGTGCACATGCGCACCAGCCCTCCGCTGCTCATGTTCGCCTCATGACCTACTTTCGAGGACCCGCAGCAGCAAGGGCAAGTGTGCTGTCCTGAGGCCGGCTTAGGGATGGAGGTCACTGCAATCCGATCTTTTGGACCCCGTCCAAGTGGGCCCTGTGTACAGAGTCCATGTTTGAAACATTGCGCAATTTGGTAGGGGATGCCCGCTTCTGGAAAAAGCAAATCTGAGCACGTGTCTCTGCCGGGCTTGCTTGCGAACCGTGTGTCCCATAATCTGGGTCAGCGTTCTTATGTAAGCCTGGGGGAAAAGGCGGGCGGGCTGATTCAAAATATTAAAAACCTCGTGGGCTCAGCTGGTAAAGTTGTCTTCTTTTTCAGACGACACTGCTGTATACCATGAGTCCATGACGTGTATAGTATTACCGTATCACTAGCCAGCCGGCTGGCGCGTGTTAAATAAATACAACTGCGTAGTTGTTTTTCCCCCTCGGCCTCACGTGCTTTTCTCGAGCCTTCCCAAACAAACTTTCTGCGACATTCTACCATGCGAAAAATATGCTGCGGTTTTGGCAGAGCGAAAATATGCTGCCGCTCGCTTCCTGAGTGGGTCTTAGACAGGATTTCCCGACTTGTTTTCGATCGTGTAGTCATGGAACTGGTATCTATAGCACTGTGTAGCCTCTACCAGGCACCGCGGAACGATGGAAAAATAGTAGAAATTGGCCGAAATAAAGTGATAGTATACCAGAGAAGGTCCCGGGCCATAGAAGATACAATTTGCGAACCACGATCTTCTATGGCCCGGGATCTTCTTTGGTATACAACCCCTTTATTTCAGCCAATTTCTACTATTTTCCAGCGATCCGCGGTGCCTGGTGGAGGCTAAGCGCGCGGGGCGATCTAGTATTTGGTATCTCAGAAGCCATCCGGAAGTATGAGTACCAGTATTGTATGGCACAATAGTTGTTTTGATCGCTGAGGATGACGCAAACAGCCCCTTTCACGCCACTGCAGTCTCTATTCTATTCACATCATCTAGGAACAGTTGCCAACAACTGGAGTCAACAGCGCTTTTTCGGGAGACAGTCTTAGCCTTGACCCTAAACGACTAGTCTATTCAAAGGGTGGGGGTGGACGGTGTGGTTTTTATATTGTCGGACGATTGTTGTTGAGAAAAAACATCTGTCATTTCTCTTTATCTATATATGTATAGCGAGAGAGATAGGCAGAAGGATGCGTGTGCACATAATTCAGTATATCAAAGAGCTTTTTAAAGCTCCTTGATTATACATATATGCTTAAACTTTTGTTTAAATTATACAGTATATAATCCCTAATTGTATTACTATTATTTTATTTATTTATTTATTTTTGTCTGTCGCTATCCCCACCTCTGGCCAGTGGATACTGCCTGGCTAATTTGATACTGTCTTTTTGCCACCCTAGGATCTGCTTGGAGATTACCCCTGGCATGTTATCTGTCAATTCGGCCAACATCTACTCTTGGTAGAGGCTATGCCTGTCTTGCTACGACCTTGTACCGTGGCTTTTCCACGAATCCAATTGCCTAGTTCCCAGAATCCTGTAATCGTATTGCCCGTGCGCAAAAGATTATTCCCGACCGTCCGTCCCTACCCGCCTCCAATAGGCTGATGAAAATGATAGAAATTGGCCAAATCGACTGAATGATATGCTAGAGGAGTTAGCCTAATCTCCAGGCAGATATTTTGGTGTGGGTATCAAATTGGCCAGTCTGTATGCATTTCCCCACCCTTCTGATTCTGAGGCGACGGGAAAGAGTAGATATTGGCCAAATAGACAGATAACTAATATATACATATAATGTCTTACTCCCACCGAAAGATCTGCTTGGAGAATAGAGTTAGCCGGTCAAAGGAGTAACCTTACTCCTATTGGAGTTTGGTCCAGACTAAGTGACCGTGCATACGGACAGGTGATATATGTCGGTTATATACAATGGCTGTGTTCACCAGACCTCCTTTAGTGGCGAAATTGTGGAAATTGGCCAAATAGAGAGTATGTCTGAGTTGGCAGCGCAGATTCGGTGTAAGTCGGTCACAGGGGAAGCCTTGGAATCGTTTTATTTCAACTTTTAAAGAACTTTGTCATTAGCCTCCAAGCAGATGTTGGGAGTGACGATGGCACGATGTCCTGATCGCCGGGTTTCTGTGAATCACGTTACGTCCTTCCACCCCAACATCTCAACTCCCATGCATGTTCTCACAGGCCAACCAAGTAACCATACGAACAATTATATATTTATTTAGATTTTAACCAATTTGTACTCTTTTATTCTTCTAGAAACAAAATGTGCAAATGTTCGTAATTAGTGTGTTTGTCCTTGGTTCAGTAGTATCAAAAACGGAAATTCAACAATCTAAAACAACAAATCATTCCAACACAGTCAAAGCATAATAAGGTGTGACATTGCGTCTTTCATGGTTTACAAAAGAGAAGCCAAACCCTTCAGACATAGTTTTAGCCATAGCTATAGTTCTAAAGAATTACATTTTATCGTGTAGATTTTGAAGTTATTTTGTACTCTGTATTCGATGTTCTTTAATGTTTGTTATTTGCAATTAGCCTTCGAGCAGCTAGGAATTTGCAATAACCTTATCTCTATAACGAAATTATCACAACAGAATACAAAATGTCTGTGACTTCCTTCGTCACTTCAGTTTCGAAGTTTTCTGTTCACTTCTGCCCCCCCCCTCCCACCAGTGACCTACAGGTCAAGCTGGATGAGGCCTGGTGAAGGTCATCTTTATTGTCCCTGTCCCAGTGTCCGTGAGCCGAAATGACCCATTATAGCTCTAACCACTCTATAATCTATTTACTTACCATACCACATCATTAATACCATGCTTAGTGAGCGACCTCGCTTCAATCTGTAAGATCTGGAGGGATCTAGTCAGTCAACTATATGATTCTGATGTCCTCGAACATACTGGGTCTTCTTCCTGTACCTTAATTCGGCCATTTGCGAATTTCTGCTGTTCATTCAATGCTCTCAATCGAGAAATCGAGCAAAGTTTTTAAAAAAAGCGACATTTTGTAGACTTTACAGTTCTAAAAATTTGTGTTGTATGTCAAAAGCTAAAGGCCTTCAAAATGCCATCGTTGTGTTATTATCGTGCCTTCATTTAGCCTTGAAAAACTCATATTCATTCCAGTTCAGATTTATACTAGTACATGTAGTATCATATCTGATGCTCTTGAGTTGTTAATACATTATATGCAACAAAATTATACACCGGACCGTCCGGAGTACAGAAAGTTTCTAAACTGCTTGGTCCGTCACTGTTAAGTTTTCTGCCCCACCACCCCCACCTGTGACCTACATAGCACATACAGGTCACCTGGGGTGAGATCTTGTTGGAGGTCACTTTGTTTTGTTAGTCCGAATTGTTGTCCCTGTTCCAGTGACCATGATCCGACGTGACAGGACAGCTGTGGTCAGGTTACCGTCACTCCTGTAGCTAGTTAGAGACAACCTGAGATCTACTAGTTAAACACGGTCTCTACATACCTAACTAAGCATGCAGCACAGTAAGCACGCTACTTAGTATCTGACCTTGCTTCGATCTGCGAGATTTGGAGGGACCTCAGTCAACTCGTACTGCTGTCCTAGATCTGGGTCAATGTACAATGATAAATAAAGAAAACATGCTTACACAAAGAAACAACATTTATTGAATGGATTCTTTTCTCTTATACTTTTGCGTTGAAGTATTCTTTTCATAGCTGAGATATGTGTATTTTATTTTGTCTTTGCCGTGTGTATGCCTCCATTATTGTGTATAATCATAGTGATAATTTGACGTGATAATAATTGCTGCCCTTGTCATCTATTTTAGGTTATCTACATGTATTACGATTGTGAGATATTCTGTCCCTTTGTCTACTAGATACTACAGGCAA